CAAAAATGCACCAATGTCATACATGTACAAAATAGAGTCAGTGTTTCCACAGGTCTCAAAAAATATGGAATAAAAACATCTATTTTGGTAAAGGGCTTGTGGTGGATAGCTGAGCTCAACAGCATGATTGTATAGTTATAGAAAAATTGTTGGATTATATTCTTCATTTAAACCATTAGGATGCAGTTTATATAACTGGAGACATTCCCTTCTCAGTGTCTCCACCTCTGAAAACCTCTGAAACCTTTGAACTGTTTCAATACCAATATATTTGGGATCTTCAGTGTTGTGTCCAAATTCCATTAAGTGTCTTACTACTGTGTGTCTTTTCCTCTAATCCCACTACAGTGTTCAGTAAGTCTGATTTTGCGAGAGGAACAGAGGAGTGACGTAGACACATAAGATGTCGTTTCCTCCTATCCTTCATCTGAAGGGTCCAATCACTAATTATTTTAATGGGCATGTTGGTCTATAAAAGACTTCCACAGAGGATGCTCTTGTACAAATGGCACTGTGCTTTTTGGGTTTTGAGCACCCCCACCAAGACATGCATAGCATATTTCAGACCCTGTGCCCCGTGGACACTTATGGGGAATTCAAGCACATAATCTGTAAAAATGGAAACACGGCCGCTGTAATAAAATGGTGAGAACAAGCGTGACAGGTGGTAGCCAACCAACTGAATGTTTTGCCTAAAAATATACATTTTCTAACCACTGTTCCTAACTGAAACCATATGTTACTCAGGAAATATACTAACAAGATTAATTAGAACCACTAATCCACAACCTAAATGTGTAAATATGGCTCATTCTACAAACGGTGGAATCTGGGTGATATGTAACATATTCCTTCTTACAGACCTAGAACTTCTTGTCAGCTACCTTCTAAACTTGGCAAATCCACAACACGTAGAGCTTAACGCACAGGAGTATTTTAGGTGTCTGGTCTCTTTGGTATTACTTGTAAAAATTAGCTATTTTTTTATTTCAGTGTTGTATTTAATACAGCCTATGCAATATTAATGTAAATGTGAATGAGAATGAAGTAATTCATGAAAGAAAACAGTAAATAAAAAGTAGGCCTGTATGGCTCCAGGTCCATGTAGGCTGATGGTCACAGTGACAAAACAATTCCTTGAACTTGGCATTTTAGATTATTTGCTAATAATAAAACTGAACATTAGATGATTAAACTTTGTTTTATCATTGAAAACACAGGCTTTATGTATTCAGCATCGCCAGTACAAGTCATGTAAATCCTGGCTTAATCCCTTATCTTACCCTCTGACATCTTATAGCTGCATTAATTTTGTTTTTTCAAGTTGAGTCCAAGTGTTTATTGTCATGTGTACAGTAAGGAAACATGTTTGCCTGTACAATAAAATTTTTACTTTGCTGTCCACAATGAATGCCAAACAATACAAAGTTAAATATAAAGTAGATAAATAGTAACACAATCTAAGGGCACTTTAAAAACAGCAAGTGAAAAGAAATATAATAAGAATATAATAAAGACAGAACATATGCTACATCGTTAGCTGTATGTACAACAGTTTTTGTTTGTTTTTACAGGGGAGCACAATTCTACAACAAGCTGAAACCCATAAATTTGACATATAATAGTCTGATAAAGTTAACAAGACTAATGTGTTAACAAAGAAGTGTCTATTTACACAGCAGGCAGTGAAAAACATTAGCCTTAAATTAGAATCATATTTAGGGCACTCTCCTCTTAGTTGTGGGTCTTCTCCTTCTGGGAATATTTGGTCCAGTGAAATAAAAGAACATACACTTTCAAGTTGTAATTCTGTTTCCTGTATAATTGTTTAGTTATCTTTGTTGCCAAAATACACTTAAAAATTATTTTCTTCCTGAAAAATGTTATATTTTGATGCCTCATCTTGTGCTCAGGAGTGAGCTCATTCATTTAACTAATCAAACATGCCTTGGTTGTAGAGCTGTATTCTAGTAGGGGGTATGACTTTTGTATATTAGTAAAAAAAAAAAAAAAACTAACATTTTTTTTAGATGAGCGTGTGATGCTCCAGCTAAAAATTTCTCTCTCATCCGACTCTGGGTGGAGATAACTTACAACAACTCCATAACATATTACAGCTCTGTACTGCATTACATTTGCTAGACCACGCCCACTTTGGAGTGATCCGTCAAATGCTTGATTTGAAGATTTGATTTATATCCCTCCCATGACTAACATCACATTACACTGACTCTGCTAAATGCTCCACTTTGTTATAGTTAGTTGCCAACTGTGTGTGCTGTTTGGTGCTAGGCGGGTAGAGTACAGTGGGTTCATCAGCACTTTTTATGCTCAGTCCTTCTTGCCTTGCTTCTGCTGGAGGTTAATCATTTAGTCATTGGCACATTATTAAAAATACATGCAGCAGTGAGTTAACGCTCAAATCTGAAACCTGCAGTAAACAAACTGCATAGCTTGAGCATAAATGTCATTAATAGCATGAATGACACCCTACTCCATTACATATCCCAGCAAATCAGTGAGCCACCATTTTCTGTAGCAGGGAGCTGCATCTGAGCCTCCTGAGTTACATACGTATAGGCATCAAGTCAGCATGTCCTGCATGAGAAAGGCCTGTTGGGTACTGGGACTGAGCATCATCATCAACCACCAAATTTAATGGAGGTTATTGAATTTTAGCTTAACAGCTAAAGGTGTCTTCATATGATCCTTCTGATAAAGGTGTAAAGTCAGTCTTCAAAAACCCAGACTGCATCTCCTGATTCCATTTCTTTCTTTTGCGTTCCTGTATTCACAGCTAATGTCCGGCTGATCTGCAGTCAGAAGCCTACAGAGACCCGACCCCATTCAGTCAGGGTCAGGGAACTGAAACAGCACCTGTCCAAGCCGTCCACACTGCTGAGGCCCAGGGACACTGAGGACTGGGAACACTTTGTCACAATCAGCAGCTTCAGGCTCTGTTAGCAAACTGTTAGCATATTAACATGACCCAGAACAAGGACAAGTGCTTGACTGAGGGGATGCCATGGCCATTATTTCCAGGCCTGCCAGGGGACCTGGTGACAGCCCCACTGTTGTCCTTTTATATTTAAACTTAAAGCTGCATTTTATTTTATTTTATTTTTGCTACTTTGTGTCATAAGAAAATAATGCAATCAAAACTTTACATTAAAATGACTTATTTTTTGCCTTTCTGTTGCAGAACAAGCAGAAAACATAACATATTTCTTTATTACCGACACACTTTACCTTATACAATTGTTATGATGAGTGTGTTAGCAAGATGCTGGGAACTGTATTTACACACAGGAGACAAAGAGCAAGATTACATTCATTTGAAGTTGGTTCTGTCCAACCAACAAGTTAATATTCACTCTCTGCTTTTGGTCTCTGAGAAATATTTGTTTAGTTGCTAAATGCTCCACTATGTTCACCTAACAAACGGACAATACAAAAGGCAATGTGTGCATGTCACTCTTCCAGCACCAAGCTAAACATCCTCCCCTGGTGACAATTTCAAGACATATCTCTGACTGTCCTGAGTGGCCCGGCCAAAGTCCAGACCTGAAGGTGGGAGTTCACAGACACTCCCCTTCCAATCTGATCAGGAAGAATGGGATAAACTGGCCTAATCCTGAGGTACAGAGACTGGAAGCTGTAACTACTGCCACATGCACTTCTACAGAGTACTGACCTAAGGGTTTGAATACTTTAGTGCATGACAGATTTTAGTTTTGGATTTTTAATAAATTTCCAAATGTTTCCAAAACATGTTTTCACTTTGTCATTGTGGGTTACTGAGTGTAGGTTGATAAGTAAACATGTCAGTTGCATCAATTCAAAATAAAATCTCCGACATAACAAAGTGTGTGCCTGAATACTCTGTGAGTCCCAGTGTGTGATTCTGTTCCCTCACTCCCTGAGCCATGCCGGTGGGCCAGCCCTCCCCTCTGACATCGGCCTGATGCCACACAGCATCTCCACCCGCCTGCCACATTCTAAAAGCATGCAAACAGAGCTTTCCCTGGTACTGGTGCTGGAATCAAAATTAGCCTGCTCTCAGGTGATGGTCAGTTCTACAAGCCATTTTCATATCATTCCAGACACCCCAAGAATCTGGTTTATTATTTGTCACCAAAACACCAAAACGTTTAGCAAGTATCCATTATATTCAAATGTTTACGGGGGAAACACTCACAAGTGCTGTCTTGAAAATGTACTTGATTTTTATTGGTCCTAACAGTGTTTGACTTCTAAGGTCTGTGTGCAAAATCAAATCGTTTATCAGCCTTTTAAGTTGACATCAGGGATGCCTCAGTATTTCCCACAGCACAGCCTGCTGTCCACCATCCGCTCTGTCCTTTCTTTGTTGTCCTTTTATCTCCGTTCCTGTACATCTATTACTTCTGCTGTGCTTTTAAGACTGGTCCTTACACAGAAACTTTGACTATATAGCCTATTTCAAAATACATTTTTAAATCTCTTGTATAACTATTTGTTTTATTAAACCCGCATATTTATGTTTCACTCTCTTGATTTTCTCCACTGCAAAAAATAATAATGACAATAATAATAATCATTGTTCAAAGCAGAACCAGTACTTCCTCTTTGTGTCCTTTCTTTAATGCCAGTTGGCAAATTCATGCATTCATGTGATCTGAGAGTTGCGAGCTCCGGAGCTCTCCATGGCACTCAGAATAAATCCTGTACTGTTGGTTACTACAACCCCACGCACTCCTACACACACACACCACTTGCAAATTCCTCTTTAGTAAAAAGGAGTTGCTCCGTGCACGTTTAAGATTGAACTGATTAAAAAGAACACGAGAAAAAGTCTAAGATGAACAGAAAACGGCATCAAATTATGCACAACAATATCAGAGCCCCTTTAAAAATCATGACGACAAAAATATCAAGTATCTAATAATTTGTAAATATATGAATGCAAAAAAGATGAATGCTTAACAAGTAAGTACTGGGGAACATGTTTGCGCACTTACCTGCAAGAAACTGTGATTTCAATCTTTGTCGCAGGTACGATGGAGTTGACTGGGTCGAAATCCCCTATTGTTGCCATGGCTGTGGGTGCTTTAATCACTTCTCGGTGCTTGAAGTTCGCACTTATATTAAAACACTTATTTTCCTTTGCCTATAATGTGTTTGTTCCATCCACCCGAGAATGAGAGACGGAGAGTGAATGAGCCGGCTTCAGCAGTAGTTGTTGCTGTTGACGGTCGCTGGATCGCAGCTGAGGGTTAGGAGGCAT